TGTTGGTGTACCAGTCCGTCTTTATTTGATTGGCGAAGCGCTCATGTGGAGGTGTGTCTTTGTGGCAGTGTTAGGGTGAAAGGAAGGAGAAGGAGGTGGTGAAGGAGGAGGAGGAGGATGAGAAGGAGGAGGAGAAGGAGAGGAGGAAAGACGCGTGGTGGGAGGGAGTGGGGAGTCGGGACGGGTGGGGGGGAAAGTGAGAGAAAGGTCAGGAGGTGCGGGTGAGAAGAGAGGGGAAGAGGGTGAGGGAGAGAAGGGGAGGGCGGGTGAGAGTTATGATGAGACGGAGAGGTGTGAGGATGAGATGGGGGCTTGGGGAGATTACGGGGTGCAGGGGAGAGGGTGAGGAGGGAGGTGAAGGTAAAAAGTGTGTATAGAGGAGAGGAAGAGATCTGAGGATTGAGTGAAAGAAGGGAGGAAGAGAGAAAGAAGACGTAAGTGGGAGAGGAAATATGGCCTGAGAATACAGAGGAGGACAGAGGCTTAGGAGAGGAGGATAGATGATGGTGATAAGAAGAGAAGAAGGAAACTGAGGAGGGTAAATATGGAAGAGGATTAAGGTGAAAGATGAGCCAGAGAGAAGATGGACAAGTTTTTATCTTTACCATTCTTTGTATTATTCCCAATATCAATATCTCACTTTTTTTATTATTATTCTTATATAAATACGAATAATATTATGAAATGACCGGTATCGAACTTATAAGTCTGATCGCGTCGTAATAATACCAGTTTTAATTTACTCTTCATCACTATTAGACTACAAATGTTTCTGGTAGACGGTGTTCATGACCTTTCGTGATAAATTCTAAAGCTCCTCCAAGAATTACTCACATTGTATTAATTGAACTGACGTCATTGACTTCAATTACGAATTATTCTTTCCCCTATTCCTTTCTATCTCCGTCAACCCACCACGCCTCCCACCCTCCTTTACCTTTTGACCTAATGCCCACCTATCAGCTCATCCTGCCATCCCCCCCCCCCTCCCCCTGCCTACCATCTGACGACGAGGGGCAAGAGTTGACCCTGATGGCTCTTAATATGATGGCTGAGCTAACACGGGTACAGAAGGGAGTGGGGGTAAAAAGGGGGGGGGTGGGGTAATCGGACCTTGATGTGGTGGCGACGAGGAAGGGAGGGGTTTGGGGTAGGTGGGGCGCCTCGTGTCGGTAGGTGGGGTTTAAATCTTCATTCTTTGTTTTTCTTTGTCCACCATTGGCTGGAGTTCATATATAAGAATAAATAAATATATACAGTATATGGAATTATAGAGTCTGGCATGTTTGATAGAGGAGTAAAGGCAAATGTGTATACACGACCTCATCAAATATGTATAGAAACAGGTATGACCACGTAAATATACACAAGGGTAAATTACACAATAAACAACAAAACAGGTAATTCCTTGTGGATACAGGTATAAATAGAAGTTCTTTTAGCTATTTATTACTGTCAAGAAATCTAAAAAAAATTGCTCAAAATGACCTTGGGTGGCAAACAATTTTACGACGGCGCCGACAGCTATATCGTTTTGGTATGATAACACTAATATGTTACTCATTTCTGATAGATATCCATAATAAAAAAATTAAAAATCCTCTATGCTTTCACTTACCATCCACTTGTGTTGTGTATGCTTAAAACTTTATAGGGCACGACTTTAATAATCGCCCTTCACCAACACCTCCACCAACAGTCACCAAACACCGCCCACTGTACAACACTCAACGAGATATTCATAACTGTAATCTGCTAAACCTCAAAGGAATACATGGATTGCGCTTGATAATCCCACTGAGTTGCGGCTTGAGATTATCGTATGGTCCAGTAGGCGCCAACACGTTCAGCAGAATGTGATATAAATACAGAATACAGAGCTAGTATGCATGTATGTATGTATGTATGTATGTATGTATTCGTAAACCTCCTTAGTTAATATAAAAAAAAAATTATACCGTATATAACTTATCATTACTATACCATGCACAGACATAGTGTAAATATGTGTATCATGAGGTACCGCAGGTGGTTAAGGGTTATCACGGTACGGAACTCCTGGCTACAGTGCGATATAAGTGGGTCGGAAAAAAATGCGATAAACGCTACGGATACTACGCACCACGTTTCACTTACTCGTGTTATTTTCTGTCTATTATTATTATTATTATTATTATTATTATTATTATTATAGAGACGCATGGACAAGCGGGGGTTAGGGAGGTATTGGCCTTGAACACATAAGAGACACACCAGCAACACACTCGCAACACACTCAACACCAGTATACTGTCCAACTCATTTTCTGTCTCTCTTATCCTATATTCTTGAAGGATTTTCCCTCCCCTAGTCCAGGCTATTATGTTCATTCAACTAGATTACTCGTTCATTTTTCCTCGCGGGTGTAATTGTTAACAAGAGCCAACTCCTCCTAGCTGTTGTTGGCTTAGACCTCACTCACTCAGGAGCTGGAACACTCTGTTACTACACCCTGGGGACG